AGGATGGAGAGACAACAGTCCTTTGGAGCTCAAGGCTGCCAAGACAGCTAGGCCTTGAGGGACCAGGATTCTGGAGAGAAGGGAGCTAAAATACAGTGAGCCAACACTCAGTGGTTTTCCTCTTTTAAGGCATTTAGCACATTCTTGAATTATTTAAGGCAAGAGGCTAAGGAGCCAAGTAAAAGCCACTGAAAGGCAAAGTGGAATTTTCAGAAATCTCACAGAACTGAGGAGGCGAATAAAGGGGTTCAGAGCTCACCAAGAAAGGAGGTGCCTTGGAGCCTTGGAAAGCCATGCCCTAGAAAGAAGGGTAAATCAAAAGTAGCCTGAGCTTTACCAAACGTGCAGCAAGCCTCCAGTCAGCTTAGTCCCTCAGGTGGCCACGAGGTAGAGCACTCTGGGGGAGAAGATACATTCCAGAGCCTCTGTACAATGCCTGGCATTCGATCAAGAATTACCAGGCACAGAAAGAGATAGGACTAAGAGGGAAAAAATGGCAACAGAAACAGACCCTCAGATGACCTCAAAATAACTATAACTAATAGGTTCCAGAAAACAGATGGTAAAACCAGAATCTCACCAGAGCCTGGGAATCAAACAAACTAACTGACTAACTGAACTTCTAGAACTGACAGAAATTCAATAACTGAAATTCAGAATTCAAAAATAGGTTTAAGAGAGACCTGACACATTAAAAGGATTAGTGAAGTGAACAGTCAACAGAGAAATTGCAGGTGCAAGCATGAAGATTAAAAAAAAGTGATGAAAAACAGAAAAAAAAAAGGCACAGAGACAAATGAGACACAGTAATACATGTAACTGAAATGCCAGAAAGGAAGAAAGACAAAATAGGGTAGAGTTTTATTTGAAGAGATAATGGCTGAGAAATTTCTAAAACAAAAGGACATCAAACCCCAGCATATGAACCCCAAGCAGGAAAAAGAAAGAAAATGGACTCATATCCATATGATAGTCAAACTGCTAAAAAACCAAAGACAAAGAAAAGCTAAACATCAGATAGAGGAAAAAAAAGTAATTACCAAAAAAGGAGTAATCATAATATCAACAGCTGACTTCTCCAGGGAAAAACAGATATCAAATCAGAATGTAAAGATACCTTCAAGGAGCTCAAAGAGAAGATTCTTCAAAACTGAAGATGAAATAGATTTCCAGACAATCAAAAATAGAGAATTTATAATCAGCAAATCAACACTAAAAGAAATACTATGGAAGTTCTACAGTTAGATGGAAAGTGATCTCAGAAAGAAACCATAAATCCATACATCAGTAATGATACAGAAAATCTGAACCTGACTGACCAATTGAACCTAACTGACAAACAGAGAATACTACATGCATTGGCAGAACACACATTCTTTTCAAATATACACAGCAGGCTTAACAAAACAGATAATATATATGGCTATAAAGCAAGGTCCCAAAATTTTAGAGGAATTAGAGTATGTCCTTCAACCACAGAATTAAATTGAAAATCAATTATTCAAAAAGTAACTAGAGGGGTGCTGGGCTGGCTCAGTCAGTGGAGTGTGTGACTCTTGATCTTGGGGTCATGAGTTTGAGCCCCAGTTGGGGGTAGAGATTACTAAGTAAGTTTTTAAAACTCTTTTTAAATAAAAAATGTAACTAGAAAACTACCAAATGTTTGGAAATTAAGCAATATATTTTTAAATAACCCATGAGTTGAAGAAAAAAATCAGAATAAAAATTAGAAAAATTGTAAACTGAATTATAATGAAAACACAATATATCAAAACATTAGGGTGTAGCTAAGGCTGTGTTTATAGAGAAGTCAATACCTTAAGTGCATATATTAGGAAAGAAAGAAAGCTGAAATGGTATCTCACTAATTTTAGGATACGAGTGAAATCTCTAACGTGGTTACAAAGTTCTGTGTGGTCTGGCTTCTGCTGATTTCTTAGTCCTGGTCTCTCATCCTGCATCCTTGTCTCTCTCTTCTCATTCATTCCTCTCCAGTCACACTGGCCTTTCAATTCCTCGAATATGCTAAATCACTTCCTGTCCCGGGGCCTTTGCACATGTGGAAACTTCTGTTTGAAGGGCTCTGTCCATTTCCTTCCTCTGGTCGAAGCCTCCTCACATTGCAGGAATCCGTTTAAATGTCACTTCCTTAGAAAAGCCTTCCCAAACATCTAAGTCTGCATTAGGGTCCTCAGACATGTGCCTTTTAATTCAAACACTTTCTTTCATGGCTCATTACCATAATCAATCATTGTTTGGGCAACTGCTTTTTATGCAATTAATTTAAAAATACTGTTTGTCATTCTCCAAATGACAAGCTCCTTGCTGACAGGAACTGGAGCTGTCTTGTTTATCATTCTATCACCAGCACCTAGCATGGTGCCTGGCAAACAGTAGACACTCTATACATGTATGTTAATGAACAAATGAATACATGGATGTCTAGTTAGCCACCTAAGTAACCATCCAGTTTACTCAAAAGTTGTTAAAAGATGCTCACTGTCTTGGAGGAGAATTATTACTGCTGTCAGCAGTTGGCATTTATTTCTGTGGCATTTACAATGCAATTTCAATCATTTGCTAATCCAAGAAATCTCCCAATCAAGGATTCCACCCTCCATCCCCAATGTTTAAGTAAAATTATTTCTAACTCTGCACTGCTTCCTGTTTACTCTGTTTGGGCAAAGGCAATTTTTTTTTTTTTTTTAGTAAGCTCAATTTATTTATTAAATCTGTGCCACGCTATGATATGCCAAGCTGGGTGCTGCGAGAGTGATTCAAATGACTGCCATTATTAATAACGGTCACAACACCACCAACAACTGTTGACGTGTTAGGTCTGCTTTCTATGTGTTATCTCACTCAAAGCGTTAGAGGGATATCAGCTCTGTTTTGCACAGGAGGAAATCAGAGAGGTGAAGTGACCTGCCCAAGGTCACAGAACCGGCGAGTAAGAGGCAGGGCCAGGGTGGATTCCAGGTCTGCCTGACTCTAGAGCCCAGGCAGGCTCAGCACCATCCCAACACCCATCTCACATTCAGAGGGGCCCTCGACGGACAGGAAAGATGCAAAGACACATGGAGAAGAGCCGTGGCTCTGAAGCATCTAAATGAAGCTTGACCCCAGCCTGGAGCGTAATCATGGGCCAGGTAAGGGGCATCCCACCTCTCCAGCCTCAGTTCTTCATTTGTGAAATGCCAACAATAGGAAATGAGAGGATACAGTGGAAGTGCCTTGCAGAGCATCTCCATTTAGTCATATGCTTAACATATAGTAGTAATTATCAAGGGATGTTGTAAACCTTTGAAAAAACCTTTCGCTTTGCTCAGATTAAGAAGACACTCACATGCCATCTCCCCTTTGCCTTCAGAAGACATGAGGATGAGAAAGGATGTGACAGTAAAGTCAAATGCACTAATCCAGGGGACCAGGAGGCCAGGAGTCTCAGGATGGTGGACCACATGGCAGGCAACAAAGCAGAGTGGTCACTGACAGTAAAGCTGCCTGGCTTTTCCCTAGAGCCTCTTCCCTTTGGAGGGCTGTTCCATGATCCAGGTAAAGAGGGAGAGGGGCTAAGGATCCAGCATCACTGCCCCACAGGCAGCTCCAGGGGATGGGCCCGGGCGAGGGGCTGCACTGCGGTTTCATCCATTTCCAGGGATCACATTACTGGGGTGGCTATCACCCCACAGAGTCTGGGGTGTGACTGCTTCTCAACCTCTCCCTCTCACTGAGCATGATTCTGAGTATTTCTCAGCCCTTGACAAACCACCTGGGCCCTTGTCTGCGAGCACAGCTAGAACATTCTATTCCTCGAGGTCTGTGCAGCTCACAGCATTTGGTCACACCCAGAACCCCCGTGGGATCCCAATGGGCAGACTTAAGACCTTTCCAGTCTCTACCTGCTTGCTGGAAAGTTCTTTCTCTGAGTCTCCTGCTCTAGGACTTGAAATCCCAAGATAACTCCTCTTCCCCAAAGCTGCTCTGTAGTCCATTCCAGAAGTATGGCCTTCTAGCTTCAGATGCCCCATGCTGCACCTCAGATTTGTACTGAGTCCATCTGCTCCCACTGCCCTTCCTGGCTCCTTGCACGGTTTGCATCAGCAGCTGTATTTATAAGCACTTTGTCACCTCCTAGTCACCCAAACCTCCCTCTGATGATTCCTTCCCGTCGTGCCACATCCAACCCCTCACCGTTCTGCACTGTGACCGGTTTGCCTGGGGAATCACCCTGATTTACACCTGGGAGGGAGAGACCCTTGAGGGAGGAGGAGGGAGCTGGCCTGGTCCACAGAGACAACCCTCACACAAAGGACCCAGAGGTGCAAGGCCCAGCTCTCCCTTCCACGGCACCTGCTGCAGACCGTCCTGTGACCTGCCCCTGCAGTAGGGTGCAATTGTAATGGACACACTGCATGCACCTGCCATTCCTTAATGTTCTGGCTCTGAAGCCTCCCTCACAGCACAGGAGCAGGACAGACTGGATGCTGGGACTCAGTGCTATGCGACCTCAGCCAGCCACCAGTGTCCCTGAGCCCCAGTCCTTTTGGCAATAAAATGGGAGCTGCCCTGAGCATGTCAACATGCAAGAGGTACATGGCTCAGGGTCAGGCACACAGAGCTGTGCTCAGGAACAGGCTGCTCTGAAAACCACCTCCACAAATGGTGGGGGGGTGGCGAGGCAGCAGCACCCCTTCCTTGACTCCCCTGGGAGACTGATGGCCAGTCCGTGGCCCAGTCCACAGTACAAAGGACCTGAAACAAGTCTGCCACAGCCCCACTCCCACCGCCAGGAAGCCAGGGAAGAGCTGAGTGCTCATTTGGCCAATTACAGATGACCAATGGCTGCTTCATATCCAGGTGAGAGACCGAGGAACAGATGGTTGTTTATGTTATTAGAGAAATTTGAAATTAGGCAGGTGGTGGCAGGTTTCAAGACATGTGTGGTGATTCTTACAAATACAGGCTAAGTTTACAAAAAATAATAAGCAAATTCTTACTTTATCGCGCCCTCCATTTTCGAAGCTGCCTCGTGGAATTGCTGTGAAGACAGTTTATACATCTCGGCATTCTACAAAGAGAAAAACAGAACTGGTTACCAGAGATTGAAATTTCCCTCTGGCTCCCTCATGGGAGCAACCATGTTAAAAATCGACAAATGCTAATTTCTTGACCAGCATCAAAGCAGATCAGTGAACTGATCCACAGCTCGGGTCTAGCTCCCACCCACCGTGGGTCAACCCTGGCTGCAGAATCCTAGAGTAGCAACGGCTGGAGGGACATGTAGATCCTCTGGTTTGGGTCAGCAATCCACCACTCATGAGCAAAACCTGGCCTGCCACCTGATTTTGTAAATAAAGTTTTATTGCAACACAGCCACACTCATGATTTGTTTAATCATCGTCAATCGCGGCTTTTGTGCTATAATAGCAGAGGTGAGTAGTTTAAACAGAGACTACAATACTTACTATGTTTAAAGAAAAAGCATACTGAGACTTGATCTGGTCCAACCCCTATTTTATAGGTAGGTGGACTCTGTTGCCCAGAGGTGAAGCAACTTACCCAAAGCCACACAGCAAGCACTGTGCCAAGACCATAGTCCAGGTGTCTGGTTCCCAGTTGGGTGTATGCTCTGCTGCCTGCCATGACCACCGCGCTCCCTGGCAAGGTGGCTTCCTGTCCAGAGCTGCAGGACGGTAGCAAAGGCATGCACCTCCATCCCTTCTGAGATAACCTAGTAAGTGTGTCCATACAGACCAGACTGGTGTAGAGAACAGCCCGGCCTTGCAGTAAGACAAAGCTGGGCTGAAGCCCTGGGGCCACCACAGTGTGCCTCTGGGTAAGTTACTCCCCTTCTTTATGCCTCAAAGACCCAGAACGTAGCACTTTCCACTTGTTTCCAGAAGAGACCAATAAAAACACACCTGCTCACCTGACCTGCCACCACACTCCTGGTGGAACACCTTGGGGCTCACAGTGGATAGACTGATTTTTTGCAGGAAGCAGTCTCAAGAATGAAACCCCAGAGGACAGCCCAAGACGGGCCGACAGTCAGACTTCCCAGGTGAGGGTGACAAGATAGCAGAGGTGCCATCTGAAGCCTGCCTACCCTTGCAGACCTGGGCCAGACCCTTTTTAGAACCTGTGTGTGTGGGAGGGGGGCTGCCCCTCTTTTACAGTTGGGTAAACGGAAGCTTCCAGCTTCAAGTGCCTCCCACCAGCATGGGTCAGTCCCTGTAAGAAGTTCAAGAGGCAGGTAAAGGGATCCTGAAGTCATAGAGCCATGCCCCTGTGTATGCCTGTCAGACTCCAAGCCTGGATCTCCCCACTCTACCATGCACAGAGATAGCCTGGCCCAAAAGGAACAATTTACTCCTTAGACAAAATGGGAAAGGTGACAGGTACCCAGATCAGAGCCATGCAGGAGAAGTGCCTTAGCCCCATGGCACCCCATCATCCGGCCGCAGAGAAGGTAATCAAGACAGGGGCAGGAAGCACCTCCCCTAGAGACCTACAATGTATCAAAGGCAGAGTTTGGGTGGGAACCTGGCCCTCATCCCATCCTGGTACCTGCCTCCGGGAAGAGTCAAGTGGGAGGGCCCACAGAAGGGGGTGTGCCTGAGGCAACACCTGGGGCCCATACCAGCAGGAGCCTGGGTGCCAGAATACTGCTATGGGCTGTGCTGGGGTGAGCCCAGTGCTGGGTCTTCAACCCCCCAAACGCTGAGTGAGCCTGGCAGGTCCTCACTTCTAAACTGGGGAGATATCCCATGCCTCTCTCTGCCAGCCATCAGGCACAGCAGATGGGAAATGCGAACACTCCCGGCATACAACAGGCACAAAATAAATAGGGGTTCTCCTCCTCCCCCCCCAGAACTGCTCTGGCTCCTGCAGGTCTTTGCTGACTCCAAGCTGCCCCATGTTCTCTCTCTGGAGTCCTGATGTTCCAGCCAAGAGATTATGATTTTGTCTCAACCAGTGTGACATTCACCCAATATGGACTATCCTAGGTGTGGGAGTAAGGACACAGACATGAATTGGCTTGGGGCTTCTCCTCCCACTCCACACAGATGCTCTTCTGTGATGTCCTTGATGGGAATCATTTACAGTCAGTCTGACCCTTCTATCCATGGGCTCTCACAGAAGACGGCATAGCCGTAGGCCCACATTTCCATTTTCCTCGGGCATAGGCGGTCTGTGTTCTTTAGTGAGTCACTTACTTCCTGGAGCTTATTTCTTCATGGTAAGACAGGGCTCCCAACTCCCTCACAGGATGGCTGGGAGATGGGGTTGAGTGGTGGTGGGCTCACAGTGCTCACCCTGCCCCCCATGGCATCACTGGACTTTCTGAGGCGGGCACAGGCCTTACTAAGCTCCTCCATCTGCCCCCGGTCAGTTCTCTTTGCCACAAGACAGTCTCTCAGCTCCAGGCCTTCTCCTCTCTGGAGATATGTCGGGTCACTGTCTGCTAGGCCTGTGGCCTGTGGTCTGTCAATGTCCCTTTCCAAGGTGGGCTGCTGGGACCCCTAGTGCCTCGGTGCTGCCTCTGCATCTCCACATGCATGCGACCCGGCCAGGGCGAGCTCAGCAAGCAGCTGAGTTGCTTAAGAGCTCAGACTGAACATGTGGTCAGTGAGATTTGTCACAGGAAGTGCCCACAGGCCAAGAAGTGGTTGTGATTATCCTGCTGCAGCTTCCTCTATTGTCTCTCAGAATGACTCAGAGGAATTCCCCTTCCTGTCGCGCCTGCCCTCCCCACCAAGTCTGCCATGTCATCTGCCTGAGCAGACCCTGGGACCACGCACCATGGAGCGTCCCCTGTGTGGCTCCCCTGGTCCACCGAGGTCCTGGTCTGAGCCTTGGGGATGCTGAGCCCTCTCCTTGTGTCCACCAGGCATTCCTGAGGGTGCTGGAGTCCACTCAGACCCTCTGCCAGGAGGAGCAGGGTATTCTGCAGACTCCTGGACCATACCACCACTGTGGGCTTCTCTAAGGACTGGGGCCACCCATGCTCATATGGAGAATCCCGAGTACTAGGGGTTTCCAAGACAAGCACGCCTGCCCCCTAGCCTCACGGGGCTCCCAGACAACACAATGTCACAATTACAATGGGACACTCAGCCAACTGTCCCATGTACTCAAGAAAGGACAGTTTGGCAGAGACCATCAAACTGGTTTCTTGGGAGCTGGCACTTGAATCAAGGCCTAAATTTTTTTTTATATTAAACAGTGTTTTTGAAAAAATAATACTTATACATGGTTTAAAAGGGCAAAAGCACAAAGGGCAGAGGGTAGGAATACAGTGACCAGTAAGCCTCTTGGCCAGCCTGGACCCCAGCGCTCCCCTCCTGCACACTGCCCCCGTGAGCCAGTTCACCCACGCACACCCCCAGCACCACAGTGGACACGACACCGCTCCTTGTTTCTTCCCTTCTCAGATGCCTCATCGTTTCACCTACGGAATAGTATTGCACAGTAGGTTCCATGATCACAAGTAATGCTGAAAGGCACATCATGGCATCTTTACCTTTGTGCACGAGTGAGCATACCTGAAGGGTACATTCTAGAAGTCAAACTCTTGGGTCAAAGGGTACATGCACTTTTAATGAACGGAGTCTTACATGAGCCAGTAATGAGAGGGAGAGGGAGACACACCGCATGTTAGATGCTGTAGTCTTACCAGAAGCAAGGGAAGGGGCTGGAGACAAAGACAGCTCGGGACCTGGGCATGTGGGGTTCTCAACTGCAGGCTGGAAGGCAGAGGTTTTACTTTTTATGTGAGGGAGTGGCAGGGGGATGTGTGTTTCAGAGAACATTCTGGCAGCTGTGTGGACGATGGAGTGCGGTACCAGCAGAGCGCCTGGAATCGCCTGCAGCATAGTCCCACAGGGCCTGGGGAGGCCTGGGTGCTGTGCCTGCAAGGAGCCCTATCACCCATTTAAACGTTGCAGGGAGATCTCCCTAAATGCACTGTACTGAATCCCCACACGTCAACTAGCACCCAGTGATCGTGAACTACTATCTCTGGGTGATCTTTCTTCCCTATTACACTCTTCAGATTTCCGATCTTGGAGCCCTTTCCTCCACCCTATAAACAGCTGCCCCTCCTCCTCCTCCTCCAGCTGCTCCGAATGCACATCTGAAACCAGAAGACCTGATCTCCATTAATTAAATCTGCCATTAAAAATTAAATAACGTGAGTAAGAAGGTGTGAGTGTTATCTCTATGGGTTTCAAAAGTCACAGTGTTTCTTCAATTACTTCCCAGGCAGTTTTCATATTTCATACTGTCTGATTTCTCCAAGGGCATGGATCTGCGAGATCAAAAGAGAACGTGATGGTGAGGGGAAGCACAGTGAGAAGGCTCAGAAGGGGATGACAAGGAAACATGTCGCGGGCCACATAAGTCATCCTGCTGCACCCACTTGCAAAGCCATGAGGGACCAGAGCGGGGCAGGGTGCAGGAGGGGGGAGTCTGCACTAACCCGCTAGCCGGGCAGTGGAGGAAGCTGTGGCCGTCCTAGAACAGAAGACAACAGAGGTCAGCGTTATGACCAGCAGTGGGGTGGCTCTTGGGCCTAAAAGCCCCTCCAGGGGCCATGCAAACATACACCCAAGCAACAAACACTCATACATTGCCTACTATGTGTGTGGGCCTCTGCTGGGTGTCAAGGAGACAGTCCATGAGGCATTTCTGTTGGAGAGGAAAGCCTGAACTAAGGTCTAAGGACCATCCTGGGAACAACTGAGGCAGCTGGAGCAGCGAGGATGGGTATGGGCCCTGGAGTCAGGACGCGGCCCCTACAGCGTGTACACCACGGGCCAGTGCCCAGACCTCTGTGTCTGCCTCCTTCGCCTCTCGTCTGTAAAATGAGAACAATAACAGAGCCTCCTTCATATGGTCGTGTGGGAACTGGTACAGATGCCAATGAGATAATGCATATAAAATGCTTAGAACAGTGCCTGGCACAGAGTAAACGCTCAATAAGTGTTTTGAGAACTTAACAGCCAAATGCATATTAACCAACAAATATATTTGGAAGAGAGACCTGGGAATAGTAAAAGAGTAAGA